ACTTTTCTTCTGTGTTTCAGTTTAAGAACAGCAAAGGAGAAATAAAATAGGATGAATTGGGATAGTATTGATCAAGTGATTAATTATGAGCCCGATCTCAAATCCCAAAGCAATTTGTTCCACAGTCTTGGATCAGTCTTTGAATGAGTTGAGCAAGGCCCAAAATTTCTTTTCCTCAACTACGAAAGGATGAAATCAGCCCACACTGCACCTTAAATTCACTCACTCCTAATGGTGTGCAGGGGCAGGATTTGTGCACTAAGTGTGGACTGCTGAGCACCTGGCAAAGACTCTGTGACACCTAACACCTCTGCCTGTTCCTCCTCCGCTATGGAGAGGCCATCAGCAGGTGGGAATTGATGAGTTTCTTTGCAATTGCTGAAGCTGAGATCATTATAATACTCCATTATAATACTGCAAATCCTCAGGTGAAAAGTACATATTAAGTGAACAATTATTCCTTGGAAACCCTACTTTATGTTTTATTATGTTTTCTAACAATTTCTGAACGAGGGAGGTCTTATGACTTTTTTTTTTTTTTTTTTGGCACAAGGGCTTCATTTCTTCAGGCTGACACATCCAAGACATTATAGAAACTATCAAAACAAGAAACTGCTGTTCTTCCCATAGACCTGCCACTAACTCCAGCCATTCCTTTCATGATTGAAGATAGTCAAATGGATTCTGCATTTCCTCACAAATCCAAAGAAAAATGTGAGTACATACTCACTGCAAAATTACTGCTAGTAATTCACCACGAACTTATATACTTTTTCCCTTCACAGAATACTTTTTCTTCAACCTTTCCTGGCTTAAGCACTGAACAAATTTGCAATGGGAGTCATGAGGGAAAAATAAGAAAAAAAAAAGAGACAAAACGCCCTATGGAACATGTGAAATCAACCGTAGAAAAGTTATTTTAAGGGTTGAAGTGTACCTGAATCATGTTTCAATAGGTATCAGCTGATTCTACCAAATGGCCATCAAGGTCAAGGACCATCATAAAAATCAAAGCAAGGACTTTTCCTAGGCAAGAATTTTTTTTCTTATTTTGAAATAAAGTTCAGTGCTATGGTCAACATACTTGCTTTTTATGAACACTTATTTATTTTTGAGAAAACCACTTCAGTTTAGCTGTTAAATATTGAATACTCCTTTTCCTACTTCAAGGCTCACAAAAGCATATTTCACAATTAATATTTGCATGCTTTTTATGCACGAGTCCTCTTATTTATACAGCTCCCTATAAATCATATAAATGAATGACACAAAGGACCAATTAGAGCTTTTTCTGCACCAGGGTAGAATGGCACTTAGATGTTTGTGCAGTCTCGTTTTAATGGTTTCAGGTTCCACAGTTCCCCTGAGGAGATTATTTGAGAGCTTACTGCAATTTATTCTCATGATAGCCAGCTTCAACATTTCCTTTTCCAATTGTATCATAATACACTTACATCCAACATAATGTATCACACATTTTCTCCTCTTGTGAAGCAAGGTAAATTCCATAAATCTTGCAATAAATTCATCACCTCTTCTTATATCATTGTAAGTCCTTATTAGCTGAGTTATGAAGCATATGCCAGTCCTGATAACAATATCACAGTTATGTCTCTTTAGTGATTTGCACAAAAAATTAGCTATCAAATCCCAACACTATTGACATACTTTATTCAAACTCCAAATTAATTCACAAAAATTATACATATTATCAAATAATTCTATGTTTCCATGTATTATAAGGATAAAATACTGTCCCTTTTTTAGGCATGCTTGCAGAGTCTTAACCCCACCCTCCCAGGGTCATATAATAAAATTCCAGGAGCAAGTTTTATCATGTATTTCTGGAAGGATCCAAATAAATTTTCCAGTTCTTTGCACAGTAAGTGGTATCTTCATGTAAGTGTGGCTTACTCTGCCCTGACATGTGAGCTGATCTCTTCACCCCTCTGTTTATCAAATGCTAAACTGGTTTACTTTCAGACTCTCTGCCTGCCCTTCCCATTCAAGTCCTGCCATAGCATTGTCCCTGATCCAGGGCTCATGCTCAGTTCTTTCACTGGGTGAACTTTTTTTTTATAAGAAACAGGGCTGACATCCATCTTTTTACAATTTCAGATTAAAGGGACTACAGAGAAAGGGAAATACGTTTGTGCAAATTTAAGACAGCTAGGCTGTACATTTTTAAAGTTATCTGTCTTCAGTTATACTGATCACAACAGAATTTTGAAGAAAACAAATGAGAACCAAAAACCAGGGAAGTGCCTCTTAACCTCCTAATAGTTCATGTAAGTACATACAGACTCTAAAACAACCTAGAAGATGGTCATCACATTATAATTTATGGAATATTATTCCTACAGAACAAATGAGTTCTATAAAACTACAAAGTCTCCTGGAAACTCTCTCAGGTGTTACAAGATGTGGTCAATTAGAAAATAATAGACTAAAGCGATAAAAGCAGTAATAAAAAGTTAGAATACTTCCTATGCACTCAGTAATACAGAACTAGTGCTCTTGCAGCAAAGGTTTATGAGATAAAGGATCAGTCAGGTGCCAAGTACTTCACTAGATTTTACAACTGAGGAAGGTGCTACAAATACTCAAAGCTCTGGCGCGACTAATAATAATATTAGTTCATTGGTGGAAGTTGGCTTTAGAAAATGGATAAAACACAACGAGCAGAAACAAAGAAGTCTGCTTGCATCTCACAGCTGAACCCGTTCCAATACCCTCATTGCACCTGGTGTCCCACACCTACTGGATGGGGAAGCAGCGTGTGTGCTGGAGCGAGCGCTACAATGGGCCGTGTGCTGGGTAGGCAGTGGCTGCCACCTCCTGCCTGCTGACCTGCCAGGACAGCTGTTACCGCCTGATGAGTCAGGAACATCCCTGAGGGAAGCTGCAATGAACTCCTCCCTGGCCACGTGGCACGTGGGCTCTGTTAGAGAGTCTCTGCTTCCTTCTTCAAGAAATCTGTCGTTTATTATCGAAATCAGCCCCGTATGGCTGAACTAGCAATGGGCTTGAAGTCATTGGAGAGGAAAAAAAGGAGAGTGAAGCCAAATCATTTGGAATGCAGCTAAAATACTTCCAAGAGTTTAAAGTTAAAAGGGATTACTGGATCACACACTGACCACAGGCCAGTAAGTCTTACTACTAGTTCCAAACTAAAGTAAGGATCTTGTTTGTGATTAAAACCATTACAATTGCATTAGGTTATCTCAGCTCCCAACTGCTGATTCCTATTCTATGTTCTTTTCTACCATTTCAAAAAGCTTTAGCATGCCAAATCTTGCAGATATTTTTGACAAATAGCTAATGCTTTTTAAATGTATTTTTGTAAGATATTTCCTCCAGTACTGCAGTCCTTTGACAGGTCTTTTCTGCATTACTTGATCTTTAATGTCAAGAGCCACACACCCTGTTCTACTATCAGTCTCATTATACACACGGTAATCCAGGTAATACATCCAACAGTCATACTGGACACGTTGCACTGGGACCTTACCTATAACAGTTTGCTTGACATGGTTTTTAGATGACTTAGTTTCTAAGACCTAAGCTCTCATTCCAGAGGCATGGCTTGCATTCTTGGAAAATCTGGCTTATACCTTTGGCTGTTAACAGTCTGTTTGAAAGTGTTAATTTTACCAAGCAGTCCAGATGACATTGCAGTTGCTCTCACAGTAGTTTATCAAGCTACCATTTAGCACATCCTTGGATTTGCTATTAAAGTGAGTTTATTTTGGATATTTGGTAAAAATCTTAAAAGATGTTGAGCCTGCAAAACCTTCCAACTCCCAAACCCATGAAGACTAAGCTCTGAAAAACCTTCTTTCAAAACTCAAAAGCAATTTCTCTGTTTGGCACATTAGCCATTCAAAAGCATTAGCCATTAGAAGTATACTTGGTATTAACCACAGGACTCAGAGATTATTTTGCAGTTCTAAGCCTAATGATTAAAAACAGTAGCCATGACGTTTCCGCAGTTACTTTTATCAATTTACCTGCAAATGTCACTGAATAAGGCTATCAGACTTGTTTTATAAGTCAAGTGAGCTGATTCATATTAAGGATATCTTACGTACTTCTTATCAAATCGTTTACATATTTTCCCTGTGGCTGATGATAAACAGTCAAGAAGAGCACAGGTCACCCTGCTTGGCCTTCTGAAAGCAGGCAGAACACGAGCGGGTTTGCTTGCTTTATTTCCCGAGAACATATTTTATATTTAAAGACTTATTAAACCCCAAACTTAGGTACCTCCTCAGCCAGCTCGGCCGAGATCCCAAGGTGCGAATTAGACAGACTTCATTAAAAACTGTCTCGGTTTGCTCGGAGCAGCGGTTTCCCCGCGGACCTCCCCAGCGCCAGCCATGTGATGCCAGCACAGCACCTGTCCTCCTCTCCCAGGTACGGTGCCGATGCTCGTTCAGCACCATCGGCCCCGCGCCGCTACAGCCGCGGCACTTCAGGATCACCTCCTCCCAGAGCGACTCACACCCCTCACTCACCCCTTTTTATTTTCCTCGGTTTTTTGTGGTTTTTTTTTTCCAAAATTCTCCTCCACCTCCCCATGCCCAGGAACACCCCCACCTCCCCTCCACACACACACCCCGGGGTTTGAGCGAGGTGCCAGCCCCCCCACCCCAGGTCCCCGTGGCCGCTCCCCGGCGACACTCCCCACCGCTCCCACTGGCGATGCGGTGCTGCCACGGGCACCGGGAACAGGCGGGCTGCGCCCCTAATCCCACCGGGAGGGGCCGCGCTCCCGGCATGCCCGAGGGGGCCGCTCCCAGGCTGGGTAGGTGGGTGGATGGGCGGAGGGAAGGAGGGCGGGAGGGTGCGCGCCCGCTCCCCCCCCGCCTTACCCCCGCCGCTTCCCATTCCCACCCGCTTCCCATTCCCACCCGACGCGGAAACCGGCGCCCAGCCGAGCCGCTGTAGCCGGCGCGCAGGGCGCATGCGCGGCAGGGCGGGGGCCGGCGTCTAGTGGGGAGCGCTCCGGCCGCCGGTGCCGCCCGCGCTGCCCGCCCGCTCTCCCGCACTCGCTCCCGCCTGCCGCTGCCCGGACACCGGCGGTCACCGCGCAGCGCCCGCGCCCTCTGCCGCGCCGGGTCCTGCCCCGCCATGAAGTTGAGCAGCCGGGGCCGGGGATGCTGCGTGGGCGGCAGCCGGGAGCGCGGGCCGCCGCCGCGGAGCCCCTTCGTGCACCAGCTGCGCTTCAGCCCCCTGGAGAAAGCCAAGGTAGGGGCGTGGGGGGCTCCCCCCTCTCCACCCTTCCTCCTCCCGCGCCGTGCCCCTGGGGCGCTCCGGCCGGCGGGCCGCGTCCTGCGGCGGGCGGGGGCTCCTCGCCGGCGCTTTGTGAGCCCGAGGGGCCGCGGGGAGCCGGAGGGAGCCGGTGCCTCTGTGTGTGCGTGTGTGCGGGGCGGGCGGGGGCTGCAGGCGGGCGGGGGCGGCGGCGGCGCCGTGCTCGGGGCGGGCGGGCGGGGGGCTGGGGGCGGCCGTGATGCTGTAGCACCTCAACTTGTGCTCCGATGCCTTCTTCAGAAAAAGCCTGTGGGTTTTTCTTTTCTCTTTTTTTTTTTTTTTTTTTTTTTAGTGGGTTTGGTTTGGGTTTGGGGGGTTCGAGGTTTTTTGTTTGTTTGGTTTTGTTTGTTTTTTTTTTAATGGGGGGCGGAGGAGCGGCCCTGCGGAGCTCCTGTTTTCGACTATCTGCTTGAGGTATTAACCCTGTGGGCCGAGGCATCCCGTGCAGCCCAAGTCTGGCCCCGGGGTAAATAGTCCCTGCCGCGTAATTTAGGTATTGTGCAGGTAGCGGGTGAGATGACGGGAAGCAGTATTAAAATGCAAATTTGCAATTGCACGGCTTCTTATTTGGTTGGTTGGTTGGTTGGGGCATTTTCCACCCCCTCTGTGCCTCAGCCTCGCTCTCCTCGCACAGTGAGCAGTAGGTAGTTGGGTATTCAAAGGGCATGGCCCTTGTCTTAGGCTTTCGGTAAGATCTGGGTCACTTGCTGGAGAAAGAAATACCGCCAGAGGCTCACCTTATGAGGGACTGGCCATTTCTGTGACTTGCATCACTGTAATACTCAAGTTCTTTAAAGCTGCTGTTTCAGGAGTGTAACAGCATGCGGTACGTATTGATATTGGAAATTAAGATCCACTAATACTGAACCTTTTGGATCAAGGTGCTCTAGATCCAACTTTGTTTTAATTACATTTTGAGTGAAGTTTGTTGTTCAAATGCCCTGTTGCTGTCCAGATACTTAACACAAGATACGTATGCCCTAACTTAAAAAACATTGGAATGTACCTCATGTTAACATCTCTGGCAGCCAAGGAATTCATAGTAGACTCCAGTAGAAAAGGTTTTTAGTTTTATAATCAAGTTTCCCAGAATGTGTTCAGTGGTTACTGAGAAATTGTTGCTTGAGCCAGAAAAGGGAGAAAAGGTTTATGTCATTTGCTGCATTTAGTTTATACCTAGGGCTTCCTCAATAAATTGCATAGTTGTAATGATTTCCTTTCCATGTTCCCGTACTTTGTTCCTGAAGTCACGTCTTCTGTGTAATTAATGAAGTAGAAGTCTTTCAGGAAGCAGAGAGAAGCAAAGATAGCATGTGTTCATAAGGACTAGAATTGTGTCCAGTTAAAACAGTATTTCATTTTGCAGTGTTAGTGTGGTTTTTAACTGTTGCTTTCTACTTGGTTATTTATAAGAAATTTTGAAAATACTGCTCTGAGAGCAAAGTATCAATTTTGCAGTGTTGAGTCTTATAGGAGCTATCAGCGTTGCCGATCTGTTCTTAGTCCTGACAGACCTTTAGGCGTTTCGTCAGCAAAGTGACTGGTTGTAGAACATACCTGCCTTCGGTACGGGCTGTCCTGTATATCTGTACAGGATGTGGGCATTACCAATGGACTTCAAGGATTTATTACTTTCAATGTAAACCACAAGATGCGTTTAAAGCTCTGTAATTTTTGACTGTGCACAGTCCAAAGGAATAGCTGCCCTGCCAAAGAGCGTACCTCAGTCTTGCTTTTTAAGTGACTTATATTTTACTGATATGCAACAGCACTGAGTTCTTTAACCCAGCCTTTCTTGCAGTCTTATTTTTGCAGTTTTATGTGAGGAAAAAGCACGTAAGCTGACAAATGGAACTGTGATAGATTTTCTTCTTTGCCTTAATCATGCTTTTCCAGCTTCTTTACCAATTAAAAGCTGTGCTTGAGATAGAAGCTGTTAAAGAAGAGCTGTGGAACTGTTCCACTTGTGAGAAATGCTCCCAGAAGAAGTGCTCCCCAGGGTGAATTATGGCAGTGCGTATTCTCTTCCATACAGTCCTGGCCAGCTACGGAGGGTTCGGTGTGAACTATTACAGCTGAACTCACTTCCTGTTCAGCTGTAGGCACATACTGTGTCACAGGCTTTTTTGTCTGTCCTGCAAATCTAACGGGGAACTTCTGGGATTGCAGAGCCTATCGAGGAAAGTTAGGAATGCAGGTACAAGAAATAGGAAGCACAGGGAACTGGGAGACAAGGCTGCTTTGTCTGAAGGTGTGTTGTCTGTTGCTGATGGTCTGCCAGATAGCCCCATTATCTTCCCTACAGCCTCATCCTGCACTTCGCAAGAGGTTAGACTAGCTTTCTTATTCATTAATACAACTCAGAAGTAAATGCATTTTATCACATTTCAGTCTGAGACTGTGGGAGTGAAAGAAAGATAGAAAGTAAAAGGGCAAAACAATCATGAAGAGGAAGAACAGCAAAAAGAAATCCTTTTGACTGTGAAGGAACTGTTCACATCTTTTATTGACTTTATAAAATTTATAATCTGGAAGATTACAGGAGCATAAAAGCAGCAAGGCTGTTTCAGAACTGAGTCTCATTCATTCTGTAGACATGATGGCTATTTTACTCTGATCTGAGGGTGACAGTAGAGGTCATTCTTGAAGCTACCTGTTTTATTTTGGTACTGTAATAAAAAGATCTTTTCTGAGAGGAAGACAGACATGATTTCATTAACCATGAATTCCTTCTGGACACTAACAAGTAAATCAAAGCTCTTAATTCTAGTTACTGCTGCAGAACAGGCAGAAGCATTACCAGAGCTGAACTGTCGCTAAGTGTCTGTAGCTTTGTTTCCCTGCTACTTAAAAACACAGTATGATGCCATTTTCCTTGCTTCCAGTGTTTCTGGCCCTTTTGTTTCACCAATGCTGGCATTCATTTGGTGCCTTGGTGAGCTGATTTGGCTCATTAAACCCAGCATATCATTGTGTTTTTCTATGTTCTGATGGTTTCCTTTTGCTGGGATGGCTTTTCTTCCCCCACTAATGAGCTATATTCTCTGGTTGCAAGTTTGCATAAGTGCTAGAGCTGACTCAAGGGGAGGACTGAGGAGGGAGTGAACAGGACCACTCTCTTTAGCAGCAGTGATCTCTTAGCTTGGCTTAGTTGCACATGAAAATTTCTACTCCTCTGTTTGTTTCCATGAATGTGTCAATTGGGGAATTTAGAGAGTGGGAAGGAGAATTGCTGAGGGATGAATTCGCAGCTCCTTCAGTGCCATCTTAGGAGAGTTGTGCTATCAGGATGATAATAATGAGGAAGTAAAAGTGTGGGGCAATATGTAATCTCTATCTGATATGTGTAAAAGAAAAATCAAAATCTTTACCATGTCAAATACTATTTTCTTTTTTTCAGTACATTACAATTACTTTATAACAAGTCACGGAAGTTTTGTTGTGAATAAACTGATTTTTAATGATATTTCTCACTGTATCGCTAATTTCAAAGCTTCTCTGTGCGTGAGAAGTATGATAGTGGATTTCAAGACAGGAAACAGACCCACAGAAGTAGAAAGGGGACCCTGTGATTCTCTTGCCCTGTGTGTTCTGAAGAACTTAAGTCCTTTCTAAGTCCATATTTTACACCTTCATCATGAGTTCACACTCAAATCTGAATGCAGAGTCTCTAAACAAGGAGAACACATGATACCTTTTTAGTTTAAGGGACTTACCTTACATGACTTACCTTACATCAGATTGAAACCATTCTGATGGCAGAGTAGAGATCAGTTTCCCAGGGCAGCTTTCTGTTACAAGCTGTAAAACCATCCTCTCCCTTCCTGCTGTCAATGGGTCTTTCACAGTTTACACTTCAACTTCTGAAAAAGCAAGTTGGATCCTGTAGACCAGCAAATGTTAAATAAGCTATAGTCAAACCCCTCTTGAGAATTTTGATCATGAGCTGAACCTCCCAAAGTACAACTCCAGATGGACCTTTAGTTTTTTTTATATGTCTCAAAACACAGCTGTTTACATATGACTTAGCAGACAGAATTTGTAATTTTGATAGGAGATGTGTCTGGGTGAATGTCCTAAATATGTAAAGATGTGATCTTCAACATAAGATGTCTGTACAAGGTCATACCAGAAGTGTGCATCTCTTGCATTCTGATCTCTGACAATGGCCAGTGGGGACAGGATCTTATCCCATTTTCTGTCTAACACTGACACTATTACTGTACTGTTTTACAGGATAGAAGCTTTCTTTCACAGGAAGATGTCTGAATATAGATGTAAACTGAGTTGGTTTTCAAATGTTAGTTTCTTTCACGATTCCTAACCTTCTTCAGGGGCTAAGTGTATATCTCTCTCCTACCAAATTTCTTGTGTGGACAGGTACTGAACTGCCACCTCCTAAAAAGAGTCTGGTGTCACAGCCAGACTCTGCACACTTGGTGCACTTGCTTCTTGCTGGCCATTACCGCTAATGCTGTCTTTGGAAGACTGAGGCCTTTTCTTCACATTTATGCTACCTTTCATGACATTATGGATGCAAGTAGCGCTTCCCTTCTGTGATGTGGCACTAAAATGATCTTGATACAAAGGATTGCTACAGAGATGCAAAGGACGGAATATTTCACTCCCAGTCACCTGCCTTTCTACTTTGCCCTGGTATAGGAGGAGACTTTGAGGAGTGGGAGGGAGGGAGTGTGAATCCCAGAGGACTGTGTCCTCACCTGCATTTTGTGTCCCTTATTTCTTGGTGGCTGGTCCTTCTCATTTTAAGAACTTAGAAGGCAACTGCTCTCTTATCTCCAGAAAGCTCCCCTATTTGCTGCCAGACATGGTGGTCTTGTCTGTGGATATGGAGTTGTGAGTTGGTGTAACTTCAGCACTCGTCTGACCATTGCAGTGTGTGAAGTTTTACTAGTTCATCTGAGAAAATAGCCTATCTAAGAAAAAAAAAAATCCTTTTTCTATCAGTTCTGCAAACTAAAGCAGTCTACACAAGGACTGGAATCCTGGTTTGGGGAGTGAGGCCATCGTTGTTACAAGATGATGTTTCGTAACAATGCCAGTCTGAACCATCACTGTAAAATCTGGTATTGCAGTGGGCAGATAGCTTAGGCCTTGAAACTGATAGCTTGGGCTTTTCTTCTGTTGTCTGCTCCCTGCCCCTACCCTAGATCTACAGATTTGTGCAGCTACAGGGTAAGGTGGTTACTGAGCTGTTTCAGGAAGCGTGAGAAATCAGGAACTGATCAGTGGGAAACTGGATCTGCATCAGGGAAGAGAAGAATATGAATAAAGCTTTCCACAGCAGCCTAGAGATACATCAGATTAAGCACAACATGAGACAGCAGCTTATGCCTGTTACTCATCTTTGCCTGGCCTTGTGATGCTGAAAAGTGCCTTTTTTTTTTTACCTTATTTAGTACACCTGTGAATATATAGTGTATTTACTGTTAAATTCTCTTTACATGACCCGTGCTTCCTAGTGTCTTCATCTTCTGTTAGCCTCCATTGTACAGCTGGAGGAACGTTGGTGCTACCTCAGTCAGCTTCAAACAGTTTTCAGTTCCCTCTCTCTTCCTTAGCTAGTCCTGAAGCTGTACCCCTCCTCCACTTTAAGAGGTCTTTTTTTTCCTTTCTTTGTCTTTTGAGTGACAAAGATGTGACTTGATCCCTGTAACTGTTTCCTGAAGCAAGACTGAGGGAGAAGTTCCAACCTGAGATGTTTTTCAGCAGAGTTGAAGGAAGAGAACTGATTAGCAGGGAGTGGGCTCTCTGAGAACCAGAGTGCTGGGAGGAGGTACAGAAGCAACTGGCTTCACCATGGCTTTCCAGAGGAGGATAACTTCTTAGAAACCTCTTCTTTCTGGGGAGTTATGCCTCATAGCACAAACCTGGAACTTAAAATCCCATGCATGTCTGGATATTTGTCTAGAGGTCTGTTTACAATGTTCCCCACAGCTTCTGGTTCCAAGAAAATACTACAGAGGAAGAAGTCTTCTGTTTGCATCCTGTGTTGCTGTGTGAATGCACCCTACTGAAGTGTACATCACTGTCTGGTAGCTGCTGTGATGGACTGGCTTCTCTATAGTGCAGCAAAATTTACAACACACCCATGCTAAATATTTGCTTTATGTGAGGCTGCAGAATGGGAAAAGAGCATGAGATTGTATTCGCTGACAAACATAGGTTCAGAAGAAGAGTGGAAAGCTAAGGCTCCGTTTGCTCTATAGAGCATGTTGTGTTTCAGCTATAATTAAAATTGGTAAATACAGAATTGTGTGCATACAGCACAGTTATTTACTTGGAATTGAGTTGTGTTCTTAACATTAGGTATTTTTCAGTTAAGACTTGGTATCAGTTTCTAGGAATGGGGGACTTTTTCATTCTGAGATTGTGTTAGAATAATGCTTTTTTTTTTTTTTTTAACTATTGTTTTGCAGATTGCCTTCATGACCTTGACTCTGTTTCCTATCCGACTCTTTTTTGCTGCTTTTATGATGTTGCTGGCCTGGCCTTTTGCATTCATTGCTTCAATGGGATCTGATGAGCAAGAGCTTGAAAAGCCCCTCTCCTGGTGGCGAAAGTGAGTCACTTATGTGGTGAACTACTAAGAGAATCATCATATAGTTCAGCAGTTTGAAATAGAGAAGATGGGAAATACCTCATATCTGTCTCCGAGATGTGCACTTCTCTTCAAAAGAAAAATATAAAAAATAACACTGTCCACAGATGGGGAAACTAAGAATACCTCAACACTTTGATTTACCAAGTGACCCAAGAATTATAGGGAGAAAAACTGCTATCTCTGGCTTCTTATCTTTATTGAGTATATGGTGTGAATCTTTGCTGTGGCATCCTTTACTTTCCCCTATTCCTGTAATGTCAACTTCTGGTTATGAAGATTGACTCTATGGAATGTGCCCAGATTTCATATTCTAAATCATTGTTTTTACACTGCTTCACCCCACTGTTTTCTACGCTGTGATGAATTGACAAAACTTGTGTTGATTACCAGAGGACTTTTTAGTACTAAAGTACTAAATACTTTAGTACTTATTAAAAGTCTATGCTTGTTTTGATATTGGAATGCTGCTTAAGGTAAAATGTAAGATAGTGTTCACCTATCCATGAATACTGCCATTTGAGGAGCAAGAAAGGAAGAGCGTATCACCTTTTCTGTAGAGAACTTTAAATTTAGGGTCTGACACTAGCATGAGGGAAGCTGATTGTGTTTTGCATCACAGAAGGGAAGGAGGTTGAGAACCGCAGAGGCATGTCACTTTGCATTTCATTTGTAGTGATATCAGTTAATAACTAAAGGAATAATGGACTGCCTTGAGTCTCGCATACAGTTATTTTGAATCCTTTTAAATTGTCCCTCCCCCATCTAATCCAGTTTTCAGTGTCACCCTGCTCCCCAGCTTCCCAGTTGCTGTAAGTGTAACAATGTGTTGTGTTTGGGTTTTGTACTCTGTTAGTTCAAAGTTTCTCTTTTTATGATTATCAGACAGTTTAAAAAAAAAACAGGAAAACAAAACTCCACAAAAAATCAACCAACAAACAAAGCCACGAACAAAACAAAAAAAACAAAACCAACAAAACCCCACAAAACAAAACACCAAAAACACATCACCCAAATCACTTTAGGAGGAGTTGGGGAAAAGGGAAGAAAGCAAAATATTTCCAGGGCTCTCATATGTATTCTCTAGGCATTACTGTATTTGAGAATCTCTGCCCTACATTTCTCTACTGTTTTGTTTGGATAAACTTGAAACCAGGAATCAGGGTTATTGCATTCTAGCAGTATCCTAGGACTCAATTTAGAGTCTCAATTAGAGATTTTTAGGTGTTGCTAGAAAACATTAGACATTGTATAGAAGAAACTCTAGCAGTCATAGCCTGAATAAAAATTAGTTTAATGATAAAATAAATGCCAATCTAACTGTGATTCAAATGGATTCATATTCAGGCATAAAATGAATTGAACAGCATCTTACCTTGAAAATGGTCTTAAATCTACTGGAATTCTGTGCAGTGTTGAAGCTCTGTTTAAGCATTGTATCCTATCTGTACTTTTCTCATATATATATAAAGTTTTTAAGCAATGTTTGCTTTTCATCATAGTAAGGTATTCCTGTGGCAGCATAACTGTTTTCTCAACTCTTTACAGGATAGTGGATGTTTTGCTGAAAGCAATCATGAGAATGATGTGGCTTGCTGGTGGATTCCACTGGATAAATGTTAAAGGCAGACGGGCATTGCCAGCGGAAGCAGCAATATTAACTGTGGCTCCCCACTCTTCCTACTTTGATGCCATTCCAGTAACTATGACCTTCGCCTCCATTGTGATGAAAGCAGAAAGCAAAGATATTCCTGTTTGGGGAAGTAAGTTGGTAGATACCTAATTTTTTAAGAACAATTGAAAATCATTGCTTAGGAAGTTCACTGGCTGTGTATGAGAGTAACTGAAACACAAAGAAAAATTTACTTTAATATATGGTGAGTTTTTTTTTTAACTGATCTACTTGGAATGTCAATAGGAAAAAATTGGGGGAGATGTTGTTCTTTTTCCCCTTTCTCCAAAATTGAATCATTGTATGCAGTCAAAGCAGTCCTCCAGAACTCACGTTAAATTTGCAGTAAAATTGCCACATTTTAAGACCTGACAGATAGAAAAGCAGATTAGGATGGGCCTATGGAAGCAAAGACTAATGCTAGAGAGAAAGTCCACCAAGACTTCTTACTTGGTGCAAGTTGGGGTGCCATGCCGGAAATATGTTTTAGGAATGTTGTCTGCTCTGAATGGTACCCTGCCTTGAGGAAGTGCTGCTAATCCTTCACACATTACTAGGTTTGTTTCTGGCAGGATGTGAGAGATGAGCTTGAGCAGACTGCTGTGCACTCAGATTGAGTCATGAGAAGA